TTATTTTCTAACATTCCGAACGACTTTCGTATTGTGCTTTCCTAGCTTTTACTTCTTTTAGGCCCCGTCCCATTATACCGTTGTGCGCATACCCAATGACGAGTGGGAGAACTACCCAAAATAACCAAATCACTCATGGTTTTATAATAACCTCTCCTACGGAGGCCGGTACAAACAGTTTTAGTTCCTTTTTTATCTTTTATCATCTTTTCTTTGTACATCATCTTACTGTCATCTTTTCTTATGATGATAGTAATTTTAATCTTAATTTACGTCTTTATGTTTTTCTATCAATTTCCTATGAAATTGACATTTAGTAAAAGTTTGATTTTTTTGTTGACTTTGACCTAGACTTAGACTTTGTCACAAATTAAAATTCTACGCCTACTTTGAGTCTATATGAACATTCATCACGTCATATAATATTCAAAAGCATCATTCACATTCTAACATACATAGATCTTGCAATATGTACATTTATGTGCAACACGGAGGAATAACTTTATTCATGTCATACACAAGAAAAACTACTAATACTTACAGAAGTTCTGCTAATGTTGCGACTTCGAGTCACCTGAAGCTTTCCAACTGCGATCATCTACCAATCCTATTATATAAATTTCTGATCGTTAATTTTACAATCTAAGACCAATAATTGTAATAGAATTTAACTCGAAAATGTCTACAATTCTTCTGTTTGGTATCCGGACTGAAATATGTCCTATCTCAACATTATGCTCCAAACCCGTGCATATTTGACCTATAATCACCATCTTGGATTTGTTTCAAAAATTAAACCCGAAACTAGCATCTAAATTCATTTTTGAGAAAAACATTATTTCACAAAAGTTGTTCAGAACAAAATTTCCTTCAACTCGGTGTTAGTCACTTTTTGAAACTAAGCTTTGATCTTGGTTTTCTAGCCCAAAACAACACCGGATTCCAATTTCCGGGTCAATAACGTAGTTTTCAGTTTTGGTCTAAAACTGTGAATTTTCATCATTTCTATGCAATTTCGATTACCGAGTTAACTTACTTTAAATATCTTCATCTTCCTATTGATCATTGCAACCAGTTTTATTTCATATCCCTAAAACAAAATTTTGGCGGAGTTCCGCCTAATTTTCCGTGTTTCCCGAGCTATCCATAGCCCGTTTTATCCGTTGTTTCAACCGACAAACACAAATCACAATCTTTCTCATATCTTTTATCATCACAAACAACACAACTCTAGGCTTTTATCATTCTTTTCTCGCAAGAATTCTCCATAAACAAAATGGTAAAAACATTGTCTAAGAAATGAAAATTTAATAATAATAATGATGATGACGACGACGACGATGACGATGAGGATGATGATGATGATGACGACGACGATGAGGATGATGATGATAATCATGATAATGATAATTATTAGGTTCAAAATCAGTACCACGATCATCACCGTATACGTGGACAACATTTGGAGAAATAGGTCAACACCAATCAATTGAAATCAACTGAAGACTAGATCGACTCGGGACGACTGAAAAAGATTGAAGACATGAGATAGTAAAAGCCACAGAGCCCTACAGTGTACGTACCCTGCATTATCAGGAGAACCACTATAACTTGATGTGTCCGTTTATTTTTTGCATTTTACGTTCTTGTTCTAGCGCTTTATTAACTCAAATCAGCCCGAATCGACTCACCAATGCAATCGATTCCGGGGAGTAGCCAATGACCCTCTAAACAAATTTAATTGTAGAATTCGACCTCTACAGTTTGGTGTCCACCGTGGGGCCTTTGGCTGATATTCTGATGAACGATCACCCTCTGACATATGAGGACATGAGTGAGAACCACAACGACACGTCTGCCGCTGATTCCAGAGCAATTCCAGGAACCGAATCCATCCAGATGTTGAACGACCGCATGTGGGAAGCAATTCTACGACTGCATTAACCTCAAAATTATGCATATAAGGTGGCGTATGCATAAAGATATAATTTTTAAATAATAGTCTAAATTTAAGGAAATGTATTTTGTAGAATAGAATATGTTATTATTGTTAATAAGATTAAGAATAAGTTACAATAATAAATTTTTCGAATGTTGGAGTTTAATCCTCAACCAAATCAGTCATCATCTATATAAAGCGCATAAGTAGCCCAAAAATAGGCAGCTTTATTAGCTTCCTTATTCACATGGAAAAACTTAACTCCTGAAAAATAAATAATAAGCAAGATATATCTAACAATAATACTCCAAACTTACTATAATAAGAAGAAAATTCTTCACAGTTTGAATGATTACCAATACATCAGACTCCAAAAACTGAAGATTTAGAACAACATAGTCTAAGAATCCTTTAAGACGATGCAACCATCACAAAAACCTTGTATCCATATTACCCTTTATTGTAAACTTTTTCGAGTTTGGTGGTTTCGGTTTGATGCGTTCTAGTTCTTCTATATGGTGTAATACAAGGAGCCATAAAAGATGTTCGGGTTGATCAGGATTAATCAACAAAGGAAATTCAAATAATTGTTTTCCGTTCTCAAAAAAAAAAAAAAAAAAAATGTAAGATGGAAAAGTTCAAGCAAAAAAAAAAAAAAAAAAGTAAGTTGGAAATCATGTTACAGATATTCTGGTTACTTATATTTTGTGTTACTTTATTTCTATTTTTATTCATCTTTTTCTTTTTTCAATAAACTGCATGAGGAAAATGCTGATATAGGATCCGTACGACCGCGATGGAAGAGAAAAGAGACGGAGAGAAAAGAGGAAGTGTAAGGAGAGAAATCGTGCAACCCGTGCTATTCTCGCTTTTCTTTCAAATCTCTTTCTAAGATTTCCTTCATATGAAAAGAAAAAAAATAAAAGAAATAATCAATTTGGTATCCTGCAGTTCTTTTACTATATCAAATCGATACTCTGGAAAACAATCGTTTTGAAAACGAATTAAATGATGACATTAGTTGAAGCTAAAAACTATAGGAACAATTTTAAGACTCAAAAGACTGCTTTAACAATTTTAATGAAGAGAAGCTCTCTATAGAAAATAGCATAAACAAATGAGAGTAAATTAATGCATCTTTAGTTTGAATATTACAACGAGGACTTATTTTGTTTAAAAAAAGGAGGTATCTCATGTTTTACATTTTTTTTATTACATTTTTTCTTTTATTTTCCATTTTTAGACCAGTTTACACATTTCAAGAGCTAATCATAAACTTGGTATTACACTTGAAATGAATAGTTATGGAGTGGTCAAGCTGACATCAGGACTGAAGGTTTTTGTGTAGATTTTTTTTTTTTTTTTTAACATGTTGTGGGGTGTATGGCTCCCAATATATTAAAAAGAAATAAAACAATCACGATTTGAATCTTAAATCACCTACTCGCACACTCAACCACTTGTTCTGACCTCAAAGTGGCAAGGTCTTTGTGTAGATTAACTAGCTTGAAAGAGTAACATTTTTAATATGTTACCATAAAATTCGTCATTGAGTTAAATTTTATCCTCTTTGTGAAGACGCTCTAAATCTATCGATTCGATCGACGTCTTTATGACTCAAGACTATGTTTATATCGTCGTCTTGCTAATCGTAGCAGAACAATGGAACTTCTAAGAACTTGAGGGTTAGAGCCAATTTGCATAATATTGTATATCGATATAATTATCAATATCTTTCTGTCCTGATTGGTCAGCAATTAATATGATATTGCAATTTGACATGAACTTTTGTTATCATTTAATCCACTACAGTTTCTGAACATATAGAGGAAAAAATTGCTTATTAAGCAACTATTGGTCTATCCTTGAAAAAGCATATCTTTCTGAACTTTTGTTACAGTTGCTTACTAAGCAACAATTTGACATGAACTTTTGAAAATTGCTTATTAATTAAGTTTGGTAAACTAGCTTGAAAAAGAAACGTGTCTTAATCTATTACCAAAATATTGGTCAATGATCGAGCTAAACTTTATCTTTCTTTTTTTTTTTGGAACTTAATCTACAACTTTTTGGATTTGTTTTTTAAGTTAGGTGTTACAGACACTTTCAGTAACACTCACTGATGATTAATAGTTATTTTTAAATTTAGCAACAAATAATTTAACGTGCAGAAAATAATGCACTAGTGTACATCGGCGACATTACCTGTAGGTGACTCACCTAGTTTTCTATATCTTTCTTTACACCCGATTTCTTTTGTTAGTGACTCACTTGACTTTTTACATCTTTTTTAAACCGGTGACATCACCCACAAATTTCTCTCTTCCAAGCTTCTATTTTTAAGCATTATCTTCGTATTTCTCATGATACCAGAAGCTACAGCAAACACTTCATAATTTAATTTCAAGTATACGGTTAATCTCTAGCCAGTAACCGAATGAGAAACCAGTGGGTAACCGGGCGTGTTTCTGTTGATGAAATTTCACCGTCAACAATGATAACAAAGTATAGACTCAGGTTAAATATCTTTTAAATTACTACAAGCTGTGCGCTCAAATGAGATTGTTAAATCATTTGCACGAACAACTTCTAGCCCATGGCTTAGAAAATGCTATGTGCTTTTGATCTTCTCGCTGCCCATAGTCATTTTTGTATAAATAGTTTCAGCTGCTAAAAACTTATAATTATAAGTTTGGCTAAATAATTCACATTAGTGATGTACCCTACAATGCAAAACCAGTTGCAACATTTGTGATGAGCTAGATATTAAGTTGCCGAATGTGTATTACCTTTTCATATCAATATTGTTGATTTTAATTTAACATGCACGTTTTTAGCTGCCACCTAATTTAATAACGCGGGATTAAAGTTGCAATTTATGATAAATTTAAAATGAGTTTTCTCATTTTGAATTTATATACATGAAGAGAAAAGTAAGATAAATCATTGGAGGTGATCAAATTTAAAATTAAGCCAAATATTTATACATTTGAACAAAACGTCAAAAAAAAAAAAAAAAATCTCTTTTACATTTCGGCTTTTAACAAAGAGATGCGGCTGTGATAGACTTGTGTTCTTTAGAAACATATATATATATATATGTAAGCAACAGTAATAAAGTTCCCCACTTCCATTTAGAAACATATTATCATGTTATGTAAACAAAGTGCAACATTTATAACTAATTAATATTAAATCCTTCTATTAATTACTACCCATCATAACCGAAACTTTAAACACATACACAAACGTCTCCTATCACCTGGTTCACGCATAAAGCTCAGCAGGCAAGCGAGGCGTGATAAGAACTTCAAGTGGAGTGGCTTTTGTATTTGTTAATCCAAAGCTTTCCGTCATATCAACAGGAGCATTTAAGGGCGTGGAAATGTCGAACGCTTGTAGAAAGCTGGCTAACGTGAACTGCACCATTTGAAGGGCAAAAGAAGTACCAGGACACGCTCTTCTACCGCTTCCAAATGGGATTAGCTCAAAATGCTGACCCCTAATATCTACATCTTTGTTGGTGGTGAGAAACCTCTCGGGCTTGAACTCGAACGGGTCGGGCCACAAGATCGGGTTGGTTTGGATCTTCCAAATGTTGGTGATGAGCCGAGTTCCCTTGGCGACATGGTAGCCACCTATGGTGCAGTCCTTGAGGAAGACATGTGGCACTGAGAGTGGCGCTACGGGATATAACCGTAGTGTCTCTTTGACTATGGCAAATATGTATGTCAACTTGCCGATGTCGGACTCACTCACAACTCTGTTTTTGCCTACATTGTTTTCGAGTTCCTCTTGGGCCTTTTTCAACACGTGGTGATTGTTCAGCAACAACGACACTGCCCATGTTAGGGTTGCTGGGATGGTGTCACTGCCTCCCGCAATCATATTCTGCAAGTTGATGAAATTCAGTTTTTCCGTTGATGAGCAGATTATAATTGGATTTTCCTTTTTTGTATTTTTTAATGAAAGCTAGCAGCACAAATCTTGTTGACACGCGTGCGGAAATCTTCTTTTTTCATAAAAGTAATGTCACGTGAATGTTGTAGGAGCTAGCTTAGGGCATATTAAGTGGACCGTATTGTATTGTATTATATCGTATCGTATAGTATAATATTATATTGTATTGTATAATTTTTACACAATACAGTGTTTAGTTAGTGATATTATTAAACATTCTACTATTTTTACTATTGTAATCTATTTACGTATTAATTTGTAATAAGATAATTTAGGCTTAACATAGTCCAATTCGACTCTAATCTCGATTGGAACCGAACATTTGGAGGAAGCAAGTGAGAAAGTAGAGTTGCTACTTTGGGTTCTTTTTAGGGAAAAAATTGAAAAATGGCTTCAAATTGTAATTTTAAAAAATTAAGGGGCAAAAATATAATTTTAAAAATTAAGGGGTCAAAACATAATTTTTTAAAAGTTTAGGGGTCAAAATATAATTTTTAGAAAGTTTAGAGGTCAAAATATAATTTTAAAAAATATAAATCCAACATCACTCTAGTCCCGAAACTCGACCCCAACGTCGGTCCCAAAACCCAACCCTGAGCCTTGATATTTGTGAACTATTTTATATGTTTTTAATATATTATTTTAAGTTAAATTGCATAATACGGTCTAGTAAATAAGTATTTTTAGTATTAAATATCACACTATGTATTGTATTAATTTTGAATCTCGTACTAAATTATACAATGTATAATTTTCACATTTTCAATGACTATTCTAAAAAAATTGCATGAAGGTCGTTAAATTTTCCTTACTATTTGTTATGTGAAGATCATTTTTTCTTTCTTTTTTTTTTTTTACTTTTATTTTTCGTTTTGTTCCATGTTTGTTTGCTAATCAATTTTTTAAGCAAATCGTTTCATTCTTTTTTTTTCTGTTTTTTATGACGTTAGACTACGGGATACATTTCTTTCATATGTAGCCTTCAATAATTCGCCCTATTCAAATTTTTTCCCCTTCAAAGTTTGCTCTGTTTAATAATTTTTCTGCTAGAATATATTTTTAACTCCTTAACTTTATTTCTAAATTTAATAATGGTCATGGAATTCAAGCTGTAATTATTGATGCGTAAGTGGTCAGGAACTAAACTCAATTATTAAATTAACGGGTCTTTATCTATAGAATATAACACTAATTTACTCTTTCCTTTTTTTATTTTCATTTTCCTTTTATTTTTTTCATTTTTTTTTTTGTGGAATGGAAGAGCAGTTCATGTAGAGACGGAACCAAGGACCCACAATGACTGAAAATATGTGGTTAATCAGTATGGATCGGCAATCATAGCCTTATCATCAAACTCACGAGATTGCTGCGAAAATAGTTTATATATATATATATATATATATTTAGGAAAATGGCTGCTTCTCATTGATTAATAATAATTAAAGGATAATAAACTTGCGTACCAGAATTGTGGCCTTGATTATTGTATCAGCATCGAAACCACCAAAGTCTGAACCGTGAAGTACAGATAGCATCACGTCCATGAAGTCGTCTTGTTCCTTTTTCTCGTCATTATTCATTTCTGCTCTATTCTGCTTATGCTCTTCAAGCCATTCACCAACAATACCATCCAAAGCCTTGGCAGTTTTCTTCATGGCCTTCTCACAGCCGCCTAAATCCAGCCACCCGAGATAAGGAATCGCATCCCCCGGTACAAACAGCCCAAGAAGTTTAAAGAATTCCTTTATTTCTTTCTGAACTAAGCGTGCTTCTTTTACGTCACCACCATCATTTGCATCAACAGAGTAACGCTTCCCAGCCACCATTCTGAGAATCACGTTGAGCGACAAGTCCAAAAACCTTTGCTTCATCTCCACCGAAGCTTGGCCTGAATGATGATCATTATCATTCCATTTGGTTGTCCAATGTTCGTATAACTCCTTAACGAAAGATGCCACTTCAGAGATTCTAATATGTTTGAGCAGCTCAAGACGGCGGTTCGAGAGCAACTGTACGGTGGCTATCTTACGAATCTCGCGCCAAAAGGGTCCATGAGGTGCTAATCCAAACATGGCGTAGTTGTAGCCCATGTGCTTCGCGGCAAGCAAGTTTGGACGTGAGGCTAAAGCCAAGTCGTTGATAGTGAAGCACTCTTTTGCCATCTCGGAGCTACTCACTACCAAACCTGGATGAGACCCGATTCGAACGGTGAAGATCGGTCCGCATTTATCAGCCAAGTTTGCCAAAGTTATATGGGGAAGTTGAGATCCTCCTAGTAGATGGAGATGTCCGATTATAGGCCATCTGCCAGCGGCTTCAGGTGGTGATTTTCTGCTGTCGTTTCTTCTGAGTCTAGATGATCTTTTTTGGACTGAGTAGAGAAATAGTAGCATGGCCAAAAATCCAGCTACGGCAGTGTATATATGACGGAGAAGAAACTCCATGATAATGGACTTTTGAATGGTGTTGAAATGTTATCTTTGGGCAAACTTACCGAAAAAGGGTTTGTCTGATTTATATTGGTGTTCCGTTTTTTCGTCTTTTTGTTTAAAAAAAATTGTAACGCCGGGCCCAATTATGCTGTCTTTTGCAAAATGCTCAAACTACTTTTTATGCTAGCAAACATTATCTTGTAGTAAGCACTTAACTTTGAAAAGGAAATTAGTATTATGATGAAAGCTTAATTAGCTATTTTTTGTGTACCATAAAAATTAGGAGGATCTTATCCTTAAATTGACGGATATATTAATAGATTTATCAGACGACATGTCAATTTCCAGTTTTGAAACATCTCTAAAGTAATTGTCCGGATTCAGAGATTTCTCTCTCTCTTTTTTTTCTCTTTTTTTTTTTTTTTTTTTTGGCTGAATCCGGATTCAGAGAAATTAAGGATAGAAAAAATATATGTATCATTTTTATTATTCTTTACGAGACCCCAATCTGAATATCTAAATGGTCTAAATATTGTCTCGAGACTGATTTATACTAGGTATATTACTAGTTTTTCAAATATCACATATTTAAGCAACAGTTAACTAGGAGAAGGAACATAAACTAGATGACCCGATTCGGACGGTGAAGATCGGTCAACATACGGCGGCCATGGCACCCAAGTTTATATGGGAAGGCTTAGGTCCTTTTAACAAAGAAAGGTGACTAAATAATGGCCAACCTCCCAAGGCTTCAGGTGGTGCTTTGCCCTTGCCAATTCCCCACATATACGTGTTAAGAAATGTGATATTACAAGAGCTAACATCATGACTGACGGTTTTTGTGTAGATTTTTTTTTTTTTTTTTTTTTTTTTTTAACATGTTGTGGAGTTTATGGCTCCCACTATATTAAGAAGAAATAAACACAATCAGATTTAAATTTTAAAATTACCTACTGGCACACCCAACCACTTGTATTGACCTCAAAGTGGCAAGGTCTTTGTGTAGATTAACTAGTAACATTTTTATTCTCTTACCATAAAATTCGTCATTGAGTTAAATTTTATCCTCTTTGTGAAGACGCTCTAAATCTATCGATTCGATCGACGTCTTTATGACTCAAGACTATGTTTATATCGTCGTCTTGCTAATCGTAGCAGAACAATGGAACTTCTAAGAACTTGAGGGTTAGAGCCAATTTGCATAATATTGTATATCGATATAATTATCAATATCTTTCTGTCCTGATTGGTCAGCAATTAATATGATATTGCAATTTGACATGAACTTTTGTTATCATTTAATCCACTACAGTTTCTTAACATATAGAGGGAAAAAAATTGCTTATTAAGCAACTATTGGTCTATCCTTGAAAAAGCAACATATCTTATTAACTTTGGTAAACTAGCTTGAAAAAGAAACGTATCTTAATCTATTACTAAAATATTGGTCATTGATCAAGCTAAACTTTTTCTTTTTTTTTTTTTTTGGAACTTAATCTATGACTTTTTGGATCTGCTCTTACGGTAGGTATTACAAAGAGTGTTATAACACATTCAGTAACACTAATGATTAATAGTTATTTCTGGATTCAGCAACAAATAACTAAACGTGTAGAAAATAATGCACAAGTGTAAATCGGTGACATCACTTGTAGGTGACTCACCTGGTTTTTTTTCGTCTTTCTTTAAACCCCATTTCTTATATTGCTGACTCACCTGGCTTTTTACATCTTTTTTTAAACCGGCAGCATCACCTAAAAATTTATCCTCTAAAGCTTGCCATGCGCTCCATAATTGCCTTAGCCTTAGCCGTTGAGATTGCGGAGTTGACACCTTTTAAAGCTTTGTCTCTTCTAGCGTTCAGTCTGTTTCTTAGCTCTCCACCCTTTTGCACTGACCCTGAGTCTTCTTGGGCATCGTTGCCCTAGTTTCTTCGGGGTGGCGCCCTTAGGGGCAGTCCTTGTCCAATCGCAGCAACATCCCTTTCCTGGGCTCGTCTCTTGGCGGCCCTTTGCCTACTTTCTACCGATTTTGACAGTTGAGGCCTCGGATTATTTTTCCTTGTATTTTGACTCCCTCCAATCCCTTCTAAGGCACCACGCTGGTCACCATTATTCTAGTTTCTAGTAGCGGCTGCGTTTGGTGGTCTTGGTGGAGCGTCTTCAAGAGGAGCCATTGAATTTCTCCCATCAATGCGCTCTATAGTGGCCACCAAGTGTCGGGCGGTATCAATTAGAGAATTCATCTGCGCTTGCATCTACACCAGATCTGGTTGAGGCACGTTTGGCGCTGGAACTTTTCCGTTCCCTGTCACTGGTTGATTCTCCAGATTGGGTTGATTTTCCCCCTTCCTCCATTGGCTTGATTCCCTTAGTTCACAGTGTTTTCATGAATTTGGTGGCCTTGATTCGCAGCGTTGCTTCTTGTTCTTCTCGGAGTCATGGCTTCAAGTTTTTTTTCTCACTAGAATTCTTCGCACTAACCAGAGATTCTAGATTCAGTCCCCATGATACGGAACTTGAAAAGAGACATTCAAAAGAAAAGCAAAGAAAAGAAAGTATGCAGCTGGCTAGCATGTTTCAAATTAAGCAGATCTATAATATGCAATGAACTAATTATAAGCTTTCGCAAGTGCATTTTAATTTAGGTATAACTAAGCATAAATTACTATAGACACACACACAGGGGTATGTTATGCAGATATTTGTAAAAGGAACTAGAAAAAAATTAATTTTTTCTCATAAAAGTTTATTAGCTAGCTAGCTAGCTAACTGGTTATCATGTCTAAACAGTACAAGAAGGACGGCGAGTGGAGGTGATTTGGACGGCAGATCTTGGACCTACCCCCTAAGTCGACCATTTGAGTACAATGGTGGGCTCAATTTCGACCAATTCGGCGTCTACAGTAGCCGACCGGACATAAAGTTTATAAAAAAACTGACAACTTGGATTCTAGCTTGCCGGCGGTGGATCCTCAAAATTGATAGAGGGCTTTTGTTTCCTAAGTTGACCATTCTGTGTCCAATGGTGGGCTCAATTTCGACCAATTCGGCATCTAAAGTAGCAGATCGGACATAAAGTTTCTGAAAAAACCAGCGACTTGGATTCTAGCTTGCCAGCGGTGGATCCTCAAAATTCATAGAGGGCTTTTGTTTCCTAAATCGACCATTCTGAGTCCAATGGTAGGCTCAATTTCGACCAATTCGGTCTCTAAAGTAGCAGATCGGAATTAAAGTTTCTGAAAAAACTGGCGACTTGGATTTTAGCTTGACAGCGGTGGATCCTCAAAATTGATAGAGGGGTTTTGTTTCCTAAGTCGACCATTCTGAGTCTAACAGTGGGCTCAATTTCGACCAATTCGGTCTCTAAAGTAGCAGATCGGAATTAAAGTTTCTGAAAAAACCGGCGACTTGGAATTTAACTTGCCAACGGTGGATCCATAAAATTGATAGAGGACTTTTGTTTCCTAAGTCGACCATTCTGAGTCCAATGGTGGGCTCAATTTCGACCAATTCGGCCTCTAAAGTAGCAGATCGGACTTCAAGTTTCAGAAAAAACCGGCGACTTAGATTTTAGCTTGCCAGCGGTGGATCCTCAAAATTGATAGAGGACTTTTGTTTCCCGTGATCCTCTGAGCATTTTACAAGCAACGACACATCATATGGTCGTCAGAAAACAGCCGGCTCATCCTCATCCATGGTGGCCAAATTACGTAGCTCCGGTGACAGTGTTCCAGCGAGAATCGATGGATGATCTTGGATGCTTTTTTTCCTCTAGTTATTCTGAGTTCATAGGGACCAGAATCACCTCGATCGGAGGTCAGACGATGAAGTTACGATGATTTGAAATTCGGCTATTTTTGAGACTTTCACCGGCGATTACGGTGGTTTCCGGCCAAGGTGGAGGTCAAACGGAACTTCAACAAACTCAGCTCGTCAAGATCTCTCTGATGATGTGGGTGGTGTCAAAAATGGACGCCGTGAACTCTGTCGGAGGTGGCGACTGGCGACGGAGAAGGAAGAGAATTTTATGAGGATTTTTTCTTTCTTTTTTTTTTTTAATGCTAAATCAGGTGTGTGTCTGAATGATAGTTTCTATACGACCAAACAATTTGAGCCGTTCATTTTTTAATCTATGGGTGAGCTTTCTGTAAGGGGAAAGTAAGTCCCCTACCATAGACATGCCTATATAAATATACACATATATATATATTACTCGTAATTAAAAAAATAGTATATGTAGGAACTAAGCAACACCTTTTGAGCAAGATATTAGCGATACAAAACTACCATAATCTATAGCATAATTTTCAAAAAAAAAAAAAAAAAAAAAAAAAAAAAATTTTAAAAAAAAAAAAAAAAAAAAAAAAAAGAAAAAAAATCCTATAGCATAGATACGTATGTGCTTGTGGTAAAAAATGGCAAATATGTAAAACCAAGATTTAATGGGACTATAAGATTTAAGTTTTAAAATTTAATGGCAAATAATTATTTTAATACAATACAATACATATTATAAGATTGAGTATGAACCCAAAGTAATATTGTAATTCATTACAAACGAGGAGCAAACAATGGTTCGAGATAGAAGATCAGATCCAAGTACTTTAGAGATAATAAATTATTACCTGCAAAGATAAAGTGAATTATAAAAAGAATGTTAGAGACTTATAAGTATGGACGTATTTTGGGGAAATTAATTAATTTTTTTGTTGTTGAGAATTTGAGGAAAAAAATACGTGCAATACATACATACATACATACATATATATATATACATATATATATATATATAAGCAACTTACTGATCCTGATGTTGGTCTTTAGTATTGGCGGAAGTGCTATCTCCTTGTTGGACTTCCCCCTTCTCTGTTTACACATATGGTATAAAAATATTTAAATCCCCAACAGAGTGAAAAGAGAGAAAGAAAGGTCTGCAGTCTGATTAATTAAACCAACATTGCAAACCAATAATACAACTGAAAATCATATGTCAATTACTAATTGCAACGAAAATCACAGAAAAAGGGACAAAACATTAGGAAGCCAAAGTCTTCAAGTGCCCATTACTGAATAATTGTGACTTACCTCGAATCCAATCTTGTTTGTATTTGAGGAGATTTGGCAGAGAGATCACCTCTATTTGTCCATTATTTCTGCAAGCAAATCTGACTTGCTGCACATGATTAACGCATACAAAATCACTTGAAATCATGAATAGCGGTGGCATTAAGTGAAAAACAAGGGTTTTAAGCTTCTTCAGATGTTCTAATCCGGATGGCACCTCTTTCATTTGGGGAAAAGGCCCAAGAAAAAGTTGTTCAATCATGACCAATGCGGATTCCTCTATTATCAACGAGCACAGTCTACTCAAGTCCTGGAGATGGAGCTTCTTTAGCTTCGGAAACACTCCTTTCTTGAAGTGAAGTCGCTCGCCGACATATGCGTCGTGACAGATCTCGAGATGCGAAAGATTGTGCATATTCTCAAGGACTTGTAGATGATCCTCTTCCAACTTTGAATAACCAAGCCTTAACTTGACTAGAGTGCTTTGATGTTGTGTGAACCACTGTGGTATCGTCTTCAGATGCCCAATTAAGTTAATGTTCCGGAGAAACTTTGGGGGTGATGACATCAATTCTAAATCAAAAACCACACTTTCACTTGATGAGGCTACAAACAGAGATTCAAGCAGTTTCATATTCTCAACACAGCGACACAGATTCCTCCAGTCTTCACTTCCCACATTAGAAATTCCCAAAGTCCTCAGTTGTGTCAAGTTACCTAATTCTTTGAACAAGTCCTTGTCTCCTTCCTGGTCAACCTCAATATAAAATAACTTCTGCAAGGCTTTCAAGAACCCAATTCCTCCCACCACTTTTATTCCTCGGGAGCCATAACTAAAGCCATTTCTTTGGACCTTGTGATCAATATTCAAAGCATAAATATTTCTCAACTTACCAAGCCTTTTCATTGTTTCAGAAGCTGGTAGCTCGTACACCAATGAATTCCTTAGATCCAATGTCTCCAAGTTTTCCAACTTCTCTATGGACCTTGGAAGCATCCTGACTTTTGTTCCCCGCACACTCAGATATCTCAAGTCAAATAAATTTCCAATATCATCAGGGAGGCGATCGAGACATGGCGCGTCTTCGAAATCAAGTACCTTCAAGAACTTGAAACTTGTCCCAAATACGGGCACAACATTGTTGAGCGTCTCATCTCTGCGAAAAACAATAACAGAATGGACATAAGGAAATATATTTCCCTGCAAATCATCATTTGAGCTGTTGATCATGATTGATAGGCGTCGATTGATTCCTCTAAATGCTGGCTCATTACTTCTTGGAAGAACTCGACAAAAACCAACTTCCTTTGTCTTCTTGAGAATGATCTCGTGCAAAAGATCATGGACACGACACACTTTAGCTTTTCCAGTCACGTCAAGCTCTGGTGCTTCAACCAAACTTCTATTTATTAGCTCATTCATATATCCATGTGCAACGTCTTCTAATGTCTTACCTTCAATTGCTTTAACAAAACCCTCAGCTATCCATTCTCGAATTAACCTTCCATTCCGTATAGAATGGTGCTGTGGAAACATCCCAAAGTACAGAAGGCAACATTTAAGGTAGTAAGGCAAATCATTATAACTGAGAGACAATATTTTTACTGTACTTGGTAAATGAACATTAACCTCCAATTCTGAAATGAGGATGGCATTGAATCTTGTCCACTCATTGATGGTCTTACTTTTCGTTGATAGAAGACCCGCTATTACTACAATTGCGAGAGGTAGACCTTCACATCTTTCAACAATCTTGCGAGAAATATCCTCTAATTCCGCAGGGCATTGACAATCCGGTTTGAAAGTCCTCTTACAAAAGAGTTCCCAAGACTTTTCTGTGGGCAAACATTGCATTTCGTGGACGTGGACAATGGGCAAGCTTCTGCAAAACTCTGCCACCTGCTTGTTTCGCGTTGTCAACATTACTTTTCCACCAACTCCATCATTGAACAAGGCATGTTCGAGGTCGCCCCAAAAATCTTCTTTCCAAACATCATCGAAGATCAAAAGATACTTCTTGTCTTTCAGGTATTCTCTCAACTTATTTGTGAGTTTTCCCTCATCCATTGTATGAATTTCACTAGGAACAAGGGCTTTAGCCGACTCAAAAAGCTCCATTACCAAGGCCCTCAGTATCACCTCTTTCTTATACGGTTGAGGCACTTGAACCCATGCATGACATTGAAACTTTGCTTGCACATGATTATAAACTTGTTGGGCAAGAGTTGTCTTCCCCGATCCTGCCATGCCAACCACTGGGATGACTTTGCTTTGGGATGACTCATCTAGCAAAACACGAACCAATTCATCTCGAGCAGATTCAATACCCACGACATCATCTTCGTGAAGGTACCGAGAGGCCCTTTGAGGGTCGTACGAAGTAACAACATTTTGAACAACAGTACTTGAGGACCCTAGTTGTTGAGTGGAATTTACAAAGCCAGACGTTTGACCTCGGTCATGGATTTTGATAAGCCTCTTCTTTAAGTTTTTTATCTGCCAGACCAAGTCACGTTGTTGATTTATCCCCAGGCAGCGGAAAGGTGAAAACCAAGCAATTTCTCGCAGCCATTCAACAAATCCCCGTTGATGTTCATGGCATGGCTTTTTTGCCATATGATGTGTGTATTCCGTGAGAGCATCTTCTACTGCGAATGAGACTTCCCGTAGTTCTTGCACCCATGATTTAGCACCATTACTGACTTCGTTTCCTTCGCTTTCAGCCTTTTTATCAGCATCCTTTATGAAATACAAGATTCTCCCCAACTCACGCTCAATTTCCCCAACGTCTTCATCAACACCTTGCAACAAGCTCACTTCTTTGGTCAACAATGAGAGCAGCCTGTCTTTAACAAGCTCTACTATAATCTCTGCCATGCTCGCTTACTTCAGTTGACAACAATCTCTTCCTAGCACTCTGCATAAGAGTTGGTATAGTTTTTTCATTATTAGCCTTTTGTTATGAGTACGTTATTCATCAATTGTGTTAATTCAACTCAACTTTTTTTAACAAAAGAAGTAGAAGGAAAAATTGACAGTATTGACTTTAGCATATCCTAATTTTTTGTTATTAAGTTATTTTGATGGAGTTGGAAATAGAGGTTATCCTTAATGTAAGACTACGTCCTCTTTCAACCATTGCAGTTTTTTCAACTATAATCAAGAAGTTACAAGAGAAAATTCACACAACTCTCAACTCTCTGTGTTTTTCTCAATCCGCGGAATCCTCTACGTAAGGCAATAATCGTCAAGGTAATTAATTAGGCTGCAAAACTTAACAACTCTCAGACAATGAACTCCGGGATGATAATCGATTTGACCCCCTTTAACCCTTTCCTACCAACCGGCACAAGTTGCAGTTGAGGATGTCTGGAGATTGGAATTGGGTTTCAAAGTTGTTATCTCAGAATTTCTTGGAGGTTTTGATGTTCAGGAATTTTTTGATTTGATACAAGTCAAAGAGGAAGTTCTTGATTTAAAAAACGTGCCAGCTAACAAGTGAGTTTCATTGATCTACTTACAGCGGCATGCTGGCAACAACCTTAGGTTGCACATACTTATTCTGGCAAGGCCAATATGGCAAGAAGATGAAGATTTTAGAGTTTGAGAAGAGAGATGAGAAGAAAATTGAGGGATAAAAATTGGACTTTATAAGAGATTGGGCTTTCATCTTAATAGGTCAACATATTAAGTGGGTGGTCCACATTTTTTTGAGCATCCGATTCTACACAGCCCAAGTCCTTATTCTTTTGAATTTAAAATTTAGTGTATGAATTTTATTTTTACATAGGATATAGATAATGGTTCGAACAAGACGATTTTCATCAATTCCACGTGGTTTGCTTAGAGGAACTAACAGGGGACCAGAAAGGAGAAGACGGTTGCACAGTCTATCCCTGATACCAGAAGTGGCACCTGTTCCACCATCCACACTTGCCCTTCCAGAGGTACCTCTAACAACTCTATAACCCATTAGAGCAGCCGATCGACCCCTAATAGATAGGAAAGTGCAAATAGCCATGATTAGGGACCTAATAAGATTTAGGGTTGCTGCAAAGTTGCTTTTACACTTCATGGGTGTAACCCATCCATGTATGATGGTCAACCTCACCCAACTCGATTACAAGATTGGCTACACATGATTGAATATCTGATGGTAGCTTGTGATATAGAAGAGAATGAATAGGTGGTTCTAGCAGTGGGCCTAGTAGAATCCGATGCTAGACAATTTTCGAGATGTACGGTAGAATCAAGGAACGCACAAGAGGTGCCATGGGGAAACGTTTTTAGTTCACTATTAGCCCAATTTCCACATAGAGGAATACCAATACCCGAGGTACCACATACAACGATAGCACCATAACCGACCTCTACATCACAGGCCCAACCACAGACTGGTGAAATTGAATTTATGAGTAGTGGAGTGTGGACAAATGAGCAATGGATACACCACGTATTTTGAAAATGCTGCTAGATGTTTAATGTAAAATCATATTTATGGATGTAAATATGCAATGTAATGAAAGTAAACTGTATGAGACAACGAGGCTATACTTGTCAACCTCAAGTCACAAAGTATGTTAATGTATCCGAAATACTATTATGTTAATGGCATATGAACGATAATGATATGCAAATGATAGGTTGAATATATGGCCACATTTAACGAAAATAATTTAGAAGTTAAAAATGTTTTTGTAAAAGAATTTTAAATGATCAAAGTTTTATTCCGCTAAAATATTTTAGTATCTATTTTACTATTAAGGAAGAAAAAAATTGTAGCCTAAAACTGTGGTTTATAGTTTTAAAATAATAGAAGTTAAATATGATCATAGTAATGATGACCAGAGATAAAGGTCATCACACCGACACACCGACAATAATACTAAACAACCTAATAAGATTTTTTCACTGAAAAGCTAAAAAATTATCATAATTCACCAAAATCGCACAACACACAATAAGAATCAGTCACGAACAATAGAGAAGCACATATAAAATAAACAAAAAGAAAAAAAGCTCCCTTCAGCGGTTGGTACCACCAAAATATATACCGACTAGTATCATGATGGGTATCCACTAGGAACGACCATTGTTGCCAGAAGTACAACCATGGCCACTACAAAAATGTCCAAAAAATCATAAATGATGTACAGAGAAAAAAAAACTTGACAAAATCCACAACAAAAAAAACTTGACATCAAAACAACAACAACAAAAAAAACCATTGAATCGTTGACATCACGGCCATCAAAGACTAGAATCAGATTAGAAAAGAGAATCTTTTAAAAAAAAATCAGAAAAAAAAAAGCAAATTCACTGCAATAAAGAAGAGGTGGAGATCGGCCGTGAAGAAGACCTCAAAATCTTCCCGCGTAGTGGCTGTGACGGGAGAGATCCCCTGACACTTGGTCTCCACCAAAAGGATCCGTACGACCGCACAGGGAGAGAAAAGAGACGGAAAGAAATGAGAAAGAAAGAAAACCTATCTGAATGAAAAAATTTTAATGTTGCGTTTGGTTGGTAGATTCGTACCATGATTTAAATAATAGTTCGTGGTTCGCTAACTACAGTATTTTCTCTCATAAAAATACACGTAAATTGATAATAGTTCTGAATCATGGTTCTTAATGTATGAACCAAAGGTCCACTAATTCATTTTAGGGTATTTTAGACTTCTTACTCTAAGTTTTATTGTACCACATGGCATAAAATAGATGAGATTGGACTTCTATCTTAAAAGTCAACCTGTTAAGTGAGGTGGCCTGATGCCCTTATATATTTGTAATTATGTTTATATTTAGACGATTTGGGACTGGCACATGGCATAAAATAGATGAGATTGGACTTCTATCTTAAAAGTCAACCTATTAAGTGAGGTGGCCTGATGCCCTTATATATTTGTAATTATGTTTATATTTAGACGATTTGGGACTGAGATATTTCTATTTGCACCCTTAATATTCATAAATACCCCCACCAAATCATAATGTATTTTTATTATAGTTTCCTTACAATAACATTACGTTAAAAACCAATTAAAATTACTTTAAAACCCGTTAAGACTTATACACCTTCATATTTTTCCCCATATCAGTTATAAATAGAAATATTGGTTGATTCTTATATCCGACACATGGCTTACAAAATAATTTTTTTCAGTGTTGTTATAACTTTTGGGTTTTTCAGTTATTCCATTTTCGATAAAGTTCGATTGCTATTTTTTTCTCTCTTTGTTTGTTTTTGTTTTTTAGGAGAGCTTCTTTCTTGCTTTATGCTTGTGTATCATGACAGTTTTTCTTCTCAGTGTACAAGTTTTTTTTTTTCTTTTTAGAATGTGAAAAGTTTTGTTTTTTGTTAAGATTTGATAATTATTTTTTATAGAACAAATGAAAATTAAAATAAAAGTCGGGGTGGGTGTGTAATTAAGAAGGTTAAATTCGGTAAATGGATAAAACCTTTTAAATATTTGTTATAAAATATTAATGAATTTGGGGTATGAATAAATTTTGAACCACTCTTTACCTTATCAATTTCTTCAAAATTTTCGGCAAGGCAATCGTTCCGTCGACGATTATGCCACAAAATGTTTCCTTCTTTTGACTCAAAATGATGTCACGAAAATTGATGGTGGTCCTTCAGTTGGAGAAACAATTTCTGCGCCAAAGGTCCCTTTAGATAAAGAGTTTGGATAAAGAGGTTGGTCTCGTTCACTTCGCAGATTCGAGTTTTCAATTCGAGCTGAGATGTGACATTTTCAGAGAGTTTTTTACTGTAGTAAAAAAAGTTAGATGTGACATTTTCTGAAAGCTTTTTACTGTAGAAATCTAGAACTGAAAACTCGAATCGGTGAAATGAACGAGGCCTTAGTTTTGCACTCTAAAATACGAAAAGTGACTCAAAACACCCGTGAACTAATATTATTTCATAATAGCCCATGAACTATTAATTTTGTGTCAACTTGCCCTCCGATCTTTTTAAAAATTAAGGATAAGTTAACACAAAAGTACAAATTTAAGGGGACACGTTGACAAAATAAATAAAATGAGAGACAATTATAAAAGTACGCGTACTGCCACGTCATTAATTGATCAGTTTTATAAATGTAAAGGTTATTTTGAATTATTATACTAATTCAGAGAGCAAAACCTAGAGACATGTTGAAATATTGTATACAATTTATGGGGTATTTATGAAATTAATGCTTTACTTTTCATCAATAAAAAAAGAAAATATTAATAATTTTGTAGTTATTAAAGAAACCGAAAAAAAAAGTGCTCGATGCTTCAAAAGCTTACCTCAGCTTTCTAAAGTTCAGAAGACTTGATCCGATTCGACTTTGGCCAAAATCGCCGAGACAGAAAATGGAAAATATTACTGTATCAGAAAAAACAACTCATGAGCTGCAATAAAAAAAAAAAAAATTTAAAAAAAAAAAAACAGAAGAAGAAGAAAAAGATAGAACTCAACTTAACTAGAAGTTTGGATAGAACTTACGTTTTAAATATCCACACTTCGATACAATCTGCAGATGTATAATATGAGACAGGTATTTTTAATATTAGAACTGAAAAAAAAAAAAAAAAACAGAGATCTGTTGGAGTTTTAGTGAGAAAATATTTGTAATTTCCACTGCAATAAGCCTTGCTTCTTCATTAATTAGCTATATATGATTAGGGATTAGTAGAAATGATTCTTATCTTCATAACATTAGGGATCAATAGAAATGATTCTTATCTTCATAACATTAGGGATCAATAGAAATGATTCTTATCTTCATCCGCAATTCTTGGGATTCTAATTTTATGCTATGTTTGGTAGGAAGGAAAGAAAATATGATAAAAAAGAAATATGGAAGTGATGGAAAATAGTAATGATGGAAAGGAAATTGATTTTCTTATATGTTGTTTGGTATGAAAAGATGGAAAGAAAATGAGTTTACTTTCACTTGTTTGGTATTGGAAGTTAAATTGGGAGGAAAGAAAAAATCTTACTCGTAAATTATTTTTATACCCTTAAATTTTTTGCTTGGATGTTAATGGAGAAAAGAGTAGTTTAGTAACTTTGCTCACTTTAATGAGTTGTCCCCATTTTTCATCTCATTTTCTGCCCACTTGTGGAAAGAAAAAAAATGGTGGGGCCCACATGTATTATTTTCCACTCCATTTTCTCTTCCTTTATCTTTTCTCTCCTACCAAACAACTTATATTTTCATTTTCCCTCCCAAAATCCCTCCACCTTCTTTACTTTTCTTTCCCTCCATCCTTTTATTTCTTTGTATCGAAGTTTTTTGTTTCTTCCATTAAAAAATTTTCTTTGTTCAGTAACCCACGAAACGAATGTATGTACTACAATAGAAAAATAACTTGTTTTTTTCTTTTTTTTTTTTTTTTCTTTCCCAAGAACTTTCAGTTAACTACTCAGTTTAGTTAGTTTATTCAAAGAATTCTATATATTAATAGTGCAAGTCCTACTTTATTCCTAGTGTGATAGTAACACAGAAGCATACAAATTAATTTTCATTCATCTTGTCAAATCCTTGCATCTTAGACAACCTACTTTCAATTTCGAATAAGATCATCAAACGGCAGAGAAAGTTCTCTCAACGTAACCACGACCTTTGTTCGATATGCTATAACATTAAATTTTTTGCAACACAGAAATCATTTTAATAATACCAAGAAATCTCACTAGTACAAATAACTCATTTAACGACGGTTTTTAATCGTCGTCACGGTTGAATGAAGTGGACTAGCACTTTAATAACCATTAATATACTATTGATAAAGTGCACACAAGAGGCTATTTCGACGCTTATTAAGCTTACTTGGCCCTTGGAGAAAATACTGCATTACAAATTTTTTTTTTTCGGATATGAATTAAAATTAACTTAAATTTGATTTCAATATTCTGGCTTTTCAGGAACAATGTAAAATTTGAATTTAAATATCATGGCAACTATTCTTGAAAGGTGCAATTAAAGGTTGTCTTTTAACTTATAAAAAAGGAAACTTAATCAGACAGGTATGTGATTAATTTCGTTTTCCTCTGTCATCTCCTACAATTATAGCGTTCTATTACTCTTCGTATAAGTTTTCACTTTTACTTAGTATAGAAACACTTGAAGCTTACGTGGATAGATCGTAGCTATTGATTACTTATCTAGTATCTATCCTTGGATTACAAGTGTTTTGGCTAAATCTTAGACATTGATGAAATTCTAAGTGTCCATAGCTTGACAAGTGTCTTTTAGAAGACAATTTGATCTTTTCTTTTTTCTTGATCTTAACATGTGTCTACTTAAAAAAAAAATTTAACTATTATTCTTTTTTAATCTTGACACGTGTCTACTTAGAAGACAATTTAAATTTTTCTTCTTTCCTCATCTTGACACGTGTCTACTTAAAAAAAAACTTAAACTTTTCTTCTTTTCTGATCTTGACACCTGTCTACTTAAAAGAAAACATAAACTTTTTTCTTTTCTGATACATGTGTAGAGCTTAGAAGAAAACCTGAATTTTATTTCTATCCTAATCTTAACACGTGTCTACTTCAAAGAAAACTTAAATTTTTTTTCTTTCCTAATCTTTCCACACGTGAAAGAGACTCATCTGTCGTTTTTTTTTTTTAAATTCCCACCTGTCTTTTTTGTCCACATATGAAACAGACCCATGTGTTTTTTTTTGTTTTTTTCTGAGTTCCCATCTGTCTTTTTTGTCCACACGTAAAACAGACCCATGTGTCTGTTTTTTTTTTTTTTTTTTTTGAATTTTTTTTTTGTCCACATACGTCTTTTTACTATAAAAGATGACAATAATTCAAAAAACCAAAAAAAAAAAAAAGGAAGTAAAAGTATTCAAATTAAAAGCAAAAAAAAGTTGAAAACCTGCTGATGATTACCAAAAAAAAAAAAAAAAAAAAAAAAAGAAAATTCCCCCTGTCGGGAATCCCAAAGAAAAAGTAAAATATGGTACGATTAGAGACAGAGAAAGAAAAGACAATGCACCAATTGATTCGTACCAAACATAACCTAATTGTGCTCATTTTCACGTCTACCAACAAACGATAAAATATTTTACTCGTGCTGCGAAACCAGGCAGTAAACACCGGATAAGTAGGTGCTGCAATCTCTATATTATATTGAGCTAGCAAGTCACCCAAGCAAACATAACCCAAGCATTTTACTCGCTAAAAGTTCGCGCCAGACAAGATCTGCCGTCAGGTAAAGATTTAAATTTACAACGACATGTGTTCTTTTTAGCGACGATAATATTTTTCAATTTTACGAAAATTTTTGCGACGACGTGTCGCCGTAAATAGTTAATTATTTGCGACAACATGTCATCGCAAATAATGTTATTTTGGCGGTAAAAGTTCGCGCCATACTACATGCGGCGCCAAGCCATTATTTGCGGCGATGACATTATTTTTTCAATTTGATGAAACTATTTGCCACGACATGTCGCCACAAATGTTCACTTTTTTACGACGACAATTATCGTCACAAATAATGTGGTTACAAATAGGCCAAATTGTTGTAGTGTGGTTGTTCCTATGTGAACCCTGAACCCTTGATAACCCTGAATCCTTGTAAGAATAATAACATGGTTGTTTTTGTCTTATTGGTTCTTGGTTAAATCAATCAAGAGGTTGGGTTTAGGAAATTGATGCTTTTCTTTGTTGTCTTTGAAAAATAAACGAAGGATGTTGGTGGCTTAAATTTTCCGTGTCCTCACAGTTGTGTTGGCCGGATGTTTGCCTTGCCGTTCGTTGACCGCCTTCATGTTCACTGCAGTCCGGGCTCTTGGCGCGTTTGCACCTGGTGGGACAATGGCATGCTGTTTGATACTTTTTTATCCTTGTTATTCCTCTTCTTTCTTTTCTTTTTTTTTTAATCTTTGTAAATGTATCCTATGACATGCTTAAAATCTATAGAGAAACCAAGGCATTCATTTAATGATAGTCAGACACACACTGGGCACCCATTGTGTTTCTTTATTATTCTATGAAAACTCACCATCCAGAAAATCTTAACACCGTAATTAACCCATTGGGTTTGTTGTTATATTTTTGACTCTTGGTTTGTCACTCTTGTGACTTTGATTTAAGTCTTGAAAACCGTAAGGCAATAATGTTTTATGGAATCTAAATGATACATTACATAAGCATTGTTTCTTATGTCTAACCCCTATTTGGGGCCGTGAAAGTTTTTTTACACGTTCGGAATCTATCACTGCTTTCTGTTTCTGGAAATGTTACATGTATTTTTCACTTTGAGTAGCGTCACTGGAGTTGATAAGTCATGCCTTCAAGGGAAAATCAAGTACCTAAGCTAAGGCACCAAGTTCAATCATGCCGTTCAATTATTATGACGTTCAATCATGCCGTCACAGGAAAGGTGACTGCAATGTTCCAAGCTTTTTAAGGTGCACAAAGGACTGCCCTTGGATTACAAGTGTTTTAGCTAAATTTTGGCCATTGATGAAATTTCAAGTGTCCATAACTTGACAAATCTCTTTTAGAAGACAATTTGATCTTTTCTTCTTTATTGATCTTCACATGTGTCTACTTAGAAGAAGACTTGAACTTTTTTCTTTCCTAATCTTGACACGTATCCACTTAGAAGACAATTTAAAATTTTCTTCTTTCCTGATCTTGACACGTGTCTACATAGAAGAAAAACTGAACTTTTTTTCTTTCCTGATCTTGACACGTGTCTATTTAGAAGAAAACTTGAACTTTTCTCCTTTCCTGATCTTGAAACGTGTCTACTTAGAAGAAAACCTGAACTTTTCTTCTTTCCTGATCTTGACATGTGTCTACATAGAAGAAAACTTGAACTTTTCTTCTTTACAAATCTTGAAACGTGTACACTTAGAAGAAAATTTGAACTTTTCTTATGCATCTATATGTTACTGATAAGGCAGATATTATAATTTCCCCTCCTTATAAAAATTTTGTCCTCGAAATTTGATGATTCTAAAATGAACAACTGTCTAGTAAATATGAGGGTTTAACTTGTAACACCCCCCAACGCTAAACCGGTCTAAGGCCGAATTTAACGAGGTGGTGCTACTTAAAACATACTTTCTATACTTAAAACAATGTCATTTTTAAGATGCGGAAACTTGTGATTGATTTGATCGCAAAATTTTTCTAAAAGTTTTTGAACAAAATGAGTAAGTGTGCAACCACAAATCTTAAACATTAAATAGTTAGTCAAAAGCGACATAGTAATAAAACAAAACATTTTGAGCTCATCTATTGTTTGGAAGTACATATAAGCAAGATGCCAGATGTAAGATTTGGAGTACTCAGCCAACCTTGGAAATCATTTTTCTTTTTACTCTTCGGTAACAACAGCATCATCTGCATCACAAGGTAAAACTAATGAGCAAAAACTCAGTAAGTAGATTTCAAATAAAGTAAGTATCTAAAATCTATGTGGTTAAAATCTCTTTGTTAATCATTGTTCATAAACTTTCATACTTATTGTTAGTTTAGGTATGATACAGAACTTTAGTTCCAAGTAAGCCTCTCTATACAGGACCTTCTCTAATTTTGGCCAATTCTCTTCTCTTAAATACTAAGCGGGGTTTTTAGAATCTCTTTCTCTTGTGATTAACAAGAGACGTCCCACTAGCATTTTTCTCTAGTTGTCTCAAAGAGACTGTTTCTCTAATTTGGGGTACCGGTCCCTCACACCCCAGCTTACCCAGCCTCTCATCCATATACCATACCATAAAATCTTTTAAAGCATAAAGACATAATAAGTAAATCTCATAATCTCTTTCAAAATAATTAATCATGAATACTCTTTGAACATAATCATATAGGGTCTTGTGATGCAGTTTTGAAAATGCTTTTAACTCTACTTACCTGAATTTTGATCACCACTTTGCAAGCACAAACTAGCTGGTTGTGGGGCACCTTCAATGTGCTAATTAACCTTTAAAGCCACAGCTTTCAAAAATCACATTCAAATCATCATTTAACAAAACAAATAACTACGCATTGTTACGAAAATATTCATAACAAATTCATCAAAACTCAAAATATTATGAGACCAGTGGAAAATAAAAGTAGACTCAAAACTCTCTTTTTAGAGCTACTACATGATAGGTTTCAGATTTTTTTAGACTAACCAAAAACAGCCCCAAATTCAGATTAAGTATAATCTTGTCAAGAAAATGAAAGCTTTTTAACTGAAATTATAAAATTCATAACTAAATGTAGAAAAATCCGTTTGGAGTGATTCAAAAATTCACGTAACGCTTGAGATATATACTTTAATAGAAAAATATAATCAGTCAAAATCATAAGTATATATGGCACGAAATCAGAATCTACATAGGCTGTACAGAGGACTTATATTTGAACATTTCATCAAATACCTAGCATGCAGATCTTAATCTTCAAAGACTACTCTCAAATACATGAATCATCACCTTAATAAGAGTTTATCTTCAAATAATCATCAATAATATCAAGCTAAAATCATCAATTTCACCCATAAACCAATATTTGAGCCAAAACCTCAAGAAACTCATTTTTAAGAGTCTACAACTAACATGCATGATAAACCCCATCAAAAATCTGAATCTCAAGTAGGATTTCAACATCTTAATCTCTAAAATCTTAGTTTCTAACATAAGAAAGAAGTTACCTCAAAGAAAAACGTGTTCCCAAGTGAATAGAAGCTCAAAACTTGATGGTTATTTTTGGTTCTAGGTTGAAAACGAGTTGAGATGGGCTGGTTGAGTCTTTAGCTCATTCTCTCTTAAAACCTAGGTTTGATTCTGAGTTTTGGGTGAGAAGAGAGAAGAAAGTGCTATGGTCGGAGTTCTAGGGTTTTTTTTGTTGAAATAGACCCAAAAATGAGGTCTAAACTTGATAGAAACTAAACAAAAGTAAAGTGGCCTTATAATAGAACAAGTACCTAGGTTTTTCTAAGGCTCTAATAGCTATCCTAACCTCATAAAATCAGCTCTAAAGTCTCTATTTTTCTTCTTCAATTAGATACCTAAAGTTCACTCAATTTGCTAATATAGACTTCTCTCACCAAAAACTCAAAATAACAACTAAGTCCTCAACACATTTGTATGAAACCATATAATAAAAATATAAAATAATGATTCATCATTAAATAAATCATAATAGAGGTAAAATATCATATCCAATTATCATAATAAATATCATTTTTCTTCATAAGTTTAGCACATTGAGTTCCTATATCGAGCTAGTTGCACTGCACATTAAAATTGAAAACTCGATTAGCAAAGCTATAAGTTTAATAAAATCGTATGATAGGTATAATAATAAAATCATATAATAGCTATAATAATAAAATATAATGCCAACAAATAACTTTGAGATAAATGGTAAATGTGGTGCATGATTTTAATTTACTAAATAATTTATTATTGGCTTAAGGCTTAATTAAATCTCGGGTATTACATAACTATTCCTCAAAAGATAAATCATAGGTTGACTGACTTCTTGGTCCCATGACACGTCTTGTCTACTATATCTCTAGAAACGTATTACTCTGACACAAAAATGTAACGCCTCTCCCGAGCTAGAAGCTAATAACTACGCCAACTTGAGAGAAATGTTAACTTACTTTACTATATTACTGCTTAAATGGAGAAATAATCTCTATATCATGCACAATCCTCGAACAAATTCTTAAATTTACAAATTACATCACTCAAGATCTCTTAACTTAAACTCGTCATGGGACTTGAACCGCTCTTGTCCAGTCAACTGAAACTTTTACTGAGAGCGTACCTACATCATGAGAACTATATGAGCTAAAGCTCAGTAAGTAAACCGTAAAATAATTTCCACTTTGAAAATACTTTCCTTTAAACTTTTAGGGCCCCTCTGTCTGACATTCATCTTGTGTTATTAGATCCTCTTTATCTTCTATTTGGTGGCCCCTGTCTTGGAATCTCTTGTTCCTCAAGGATTTGGCCATTTTACTAACTGAGTCGGTTCGTAATCAACACAAGATTCATATCATATTCTGAAACCTAAAACACTTTCTAAATCCCAGGAAAACATGTCAAATATATATAAATTTACAATTTTCATAAACTGAAAACTTTCATGTACTACTGTTCAAGTGATGCAGTGGAAAGTCTACTTACAAATTCGTTGGTTGAGAGGAAAATCCTTCTCTCGGTTTTCTCTCTCTTTCTTTCTTTCTTTCTCTCTTCCTCTATTTCTCTTTTCTCTCTTTTTCTTTCTTTCTAACTTTCTCTCTCTAGCTTCCTCCATATAGAGGATGGAATGAATCCATCACCTATTTATAGTATGTCATCTTACATTCTAGCCTTTGGATCAAAGCTTATGTTGATAGATCGTAGCCATTGATTCCTTATCTCGTATCTACCATTGGATTACAAGTGTCCATAACTTGACAAGAGTCTTTTAGAAGATCATTTGAGCTTTTTTTTCTATATTGATCTTGATATGTGTCTACTTAGAAGAAAATTTAAACTTTTCTTCTCTCCTAATAATGACACGTGTCCACTTAGGAGACAATTTAAACATTTCTTCTTTTCAGATCTTGACACGTGTCTAGTTAGAAGAAAACCTAAACTTTTCTTCTTTCTTTATCTTGACATGTGTCTACTTAGAAGAAAACTTAAACTTTTTTTCTTTCCTGATCTTAACACGTGTCTACTTAGAACAAAACGTGAACTTTTCTTCGTTCTTGATTTTGACACATGTCTACTTAGAAGAAAATGATCTTGACACGTGTCCACTGAGAAGAAAACCTAAACTTTTCTCTCTTCCCCTATTTCTCTTTTCTTTCTTTTCTTTCTCTCTAACTTTCTCTATCTACCTTCCTCCATACGAAGGATGGAATGAATCCATCACTTATTTATAGTATGTCATCTTACATTCTAGCCCTTAGATCAAAGCTTACGTGGATAGATCGTAACCATTGATTCCTTATATTGTATCTACCCTTAGATTACAAGTGTTTTGGCTAAATCTTGGCCATTGATGAAATTCCAAGGGTCCGTAACTTGACAAGTGTCTTTTATAAGAAAATTTGATATTTTCTTCTTTCTTGATCTTGACATGTGTCTACTTAGAAGAAAATTTGAACTTTTCCTTCTTTCCAAATCTTGACACATGTCCACTTAGAAGATAATTTGAACTTTTCTTCTTTCCTGATCTTGACACATGTCTACTTAAAAGAAAAGCTAAACTTTTCTTCTTTCTTGATCTTGACACATGTCAACTAAGAAGAAAATAATCTTGACACGTGTCTACTTAGAAGAAAAACTTAACATTTCTTCTGTCTTGATTTTTACAAGTGTCTACTTAGAAGTAACTTGAACTTCTCTTCTTTTTTAATCTTGACACGTGTCAACTTAGAAGAAAACTTAAAACTTTTTTCCTTTCCTGATCTTGACATGTGTCTACTTAGAAGAAAACCTGAACTTTTCTTCTTTCTTGATCTTGACACGTGTCTACTTAGAAGAAGGCTTGAACTTTTCTTCTTTCCTAGTCTTGACACGTGTCCACTCAGAAGTAAATTTGAACTTTCATCTGCCTCTATATATTATCTGATAAGATGAATATTATAATCTCCCCACCTTGTAAAAATTTCATCCTTGAAATATGATGATTCCAAACTAAACAACTGTCTAGTAAATATGAGGGTTTAACTATTCCTCAAGAGATAAATCCTAGGTTGACTGAGTTATTGGTCCCATGACATGTCTTGTCTACTATTATCTCCAAAAATTTATTGCTCTGATACCAAAATGTAACGCCCCTCCAAAGCTAACAGCTAATAACTATGCCAACTCGAGAGAAATATAAACTTACTTTACTATATTACTTCTTAAATAGAGAAATAATCTCTATATCATGTACAATCCTCAAACAATTTCTTAAATATACAAATTACACAACTTAAAATCTCGTAACTTAAACTTGTCATGGGACTTGAACAGCTTTTGCTCAGTCAACTGGAACTTCTACTAAGAGCTTACCTGCATCACGAGAACTATATGCGCAAAAGCTAAGGAAGTAAACCGTAAACCAATTTCCACTTTGAAAATACTTTTTTCTTAAACTTTTAGCGCCCTTCTCTTTGACATTATCTTCTATCTGGTGGCCCCTATATCAGAATCTCTTGCTCCCCAAGGATTTGGCCATTCTACTAACCGAGTCAGTTCGTAACCAACACAAGATTCATATCATATTCTGAAAACTAAAACACTTTCTTAATCTCATGGAAACATGTCAAATATATATAAATTGACAATTTTCATAAACTGAAAACTTTCATGTACTATTGTTCAAGTGATACAGTGGAAAGTCTACTTACATATTCGCTAGTCGAGAGGAAAATTCTTCTCTCGATTTGCTCTCTCTTTCTTTCTTTCTCTCTTCCTCTATTTCTCTTTTCTCTCTTTTTCTTTTTCTCTAACTTTCTCTCTCTAGCTTCATCCATATGAAGGATGGAATGAATCCATCACTTATTTCTAGTATGTCATCTTACATTCTAGCCCTTGATTCCTTATATTGTATCTACCTTTGGATTACAAGTGTTTTGGCTGAATCTTAGCCATGGATGAAATTCCAAGGGTCCGTAACTTGACAAGTGTCTTATAGAAGACAATTTAATCTTTTCTTCTTTCTTGATCTTGACATGTGTCTACTTAGAAGAAAATTTTAAATTTTTTTTTCTTGATATTGACACGAATCCACTTTGAAGACAATTTGAAAATTTCTTTTTCCTGATCTTGACACGTCTACTTAGAAGAAAATTTAAACTTTTCTTCTTTCCTAATCTTGACACGTGTCAACTTAGAAGAAAACTTAAACTTTTCTTCTTTTCTGATCTTGACACATGTCTACTTGGAAGAAAGCTTGAACTTTTCTTCTTTCCTAATCTTGACACGTGTCCACTTAGAAAAAAATTTAAACTTTTCTTCTGAATCTATATGTTATCTAATAAGGCGGATATGATAATCTCCCCTCCTTTTAAAAATTTCATCCTCAAAATTTGATAATTCCAAAATGAACAACTATCTAGTAAATATGAGGGTTTAACTATTCCTCAAATGATAAATGCTAGGTTGACTGAGTTATTGGTCCCATGACACTTCTTGTCTACTATATCTCCAGAAACGTGTTGCTCTGATTCCAAACTGTAAAGGCCCTCCCGAGCTAGCAGCTAATAACTACGCCAACTCGACAGAAATGTTAACTTACTTTACTATATTACTGCTTAAAAAGAGAAATAATCTCTATATCATGTACAATCCTCGAACAAATTCTTAAATTTACAAATTAAATAACTTAAGATCTCTTAAGTTAAACTACCGCTCTTACTCAGTCAACTGGAACTTCTTCTAAGAGCTTACCTGCAACACGAGAACTATGTGAGCTAAAGCTCAGTAAGTAAACCATAAAATAATTTCCACTTTTAAAATACTTTTCTTTACACTATTAGGGCCCTTCTGTCTGACATGCATATTGTGTTATTAGAACCACTTTATGTTCTATCTGGTGGACCCTCTCTCGGAAACTCTTGTTCCTTAAGGATTTGACCATTTCACTAACTGAGTCGGTTCATAACCAACAAAAGATTCATATCATATTCTGAAAGCTATAACACTTTCATAATCTCATGAAAACATGTCAAATATATACAAATTGACAATTTTCATAAACTGAAAACTTTCACGTACTACTGTTCAAGTGATGCAGTGGAATGTCTACTTACAAATTCGTTGGTCGAGAGGAAAATCCTTCTCTCAGTTTGCTCTCTCTTGCTTTCTTTCTTTCTCTCTTCCTCTATTTCTCTTTTCTATCTTTTTCTTTCTCTCTAACTTTCTCTCCAACTTTCTCTCTCTAGCATTCTCCATATGAAGGATGGAAAGAATCCATCACCTATTTATAGTATGTCATCTTTCATTTTAACTCTTGAATCAAAGCTTATGTGGATAGATCGTAGCCATTGATTCCTTATCTAGTATCTACCCTTGGATTACAAGTGTTTTGGCTAAATCTTGACCATTGATGAAATTCCAAGTGTCCATAACTTGACAAGTGTCTTTTAGAACACAATTTGATCTTTTCTTCTTTCTTGATCTTGACATGTGTCTACTTAGAAGATAATTTTGAACTATTCTTTTTTCCTAATCTTGACACGTGTCCACCTAGAAGACAATTTAAACTTTTCTTCTTTCCTCATCTTGACACGTGTCTACTTAGAAGAAAATTTAAACTTTTCTTCATTCCTGCTCTTGACACGTGTCTACTTAGAAGAAAACGTGAACTTTTCTACTTTCCTGATCTTGACACGTGTCTACTTAGAAAAAAACATGAACTTTTTTCTTTCCTGATCTTAACATGTGTCTACTTAGAAAAAAATTTAGATTTTTTTTCTTTCTTGCTCTTAACACGTGTCTACTTAGAAGAAAATTTAAACTTTTCCACACGTAAAAGAGACCCATCTGTCTTCTTTTTTTTTTGTTTTATTTTTAATTCCCACCTGTCTTTTTGTCCACATAAGAAACAGACCCATGTGTTAAGAGAAAAAAAAACGATAATAGTAGTTCCCAGAAAAGAAAAAAAAAACACTATAAAAGATTACAATAATTCAAAAAACCAAAAAAAAAAAAAAAGGTTGTAGAAGTATTCAAATTAAAAGCAAAAAAAGTTGTAAAACTGCCAAAAACCGCCGGTAATAAAAAAAAAAAAAAAAAAAAAAAAAAAAAAACAAAGAAGAAAAAACTAGCATATTCCTCCTTGCTGGAATCCCAAAGAAAAAGTAAAATATGGTACGATTAGAGACAGAGAAAGAGAAGACAATGCACCAATTGGTTCGTGCCAAACATAACCTAATTGTGCTCATTTTCACATCTACCAACAAACGATAAAACATTTTACTCGTGCTGCAAAACCAGGCAGTAAACCCCGGATAAGTAGGTGGTGCAATCTCTATATAATATTGAGCTAGTAAGTCACCAAAGCAAACCAACACCCTTCTCCCATTTCGGAAGCACATACAATGGTGAGCTCCTCCACGTATAAAAATGAGTGTGCTATTACTTATATATATATATATATATATATTTATACAAATACATATATAAACCTTTTTGTTATGATTTTTCGTACTGCACGTAACATATAGAAGTGAGAAACATGGCATATAATTTATTTAATGTAATTTTTTGAAATGTGTGAGGCTAAGAAAATTATTTATTTGCTATTATTACACTTTTACAACGTAAGTGATGTTACGATGAATAAATCTCAGATTATATTTATGATTTCTATATGTTATATGGAAGTATGGAGGAGCATAGGCAAGCTCTAAACACATATTTGGAAGACTTCATGCCATATTATATCGTATCAATTATATATACAGTATATATATTCTACCAATATATTGATCATCTAATGGAATATTGTAACATTTTTAAAAAAATATTTTATAGGCAGGCACTAGCACGAACACGCAAAGCACCGGAACAAGTCAGACAGTAGTAGTGGGACTATGGGGAGGGCCCGGTGGTAATGCTTGGGACGATGGATCCTATACTGGAATTCGAGAAATCAATCTTTCTCATTATGATGCCATTGGTGCCTTTAGTGTGATTTATGATTTGAATGGCGAGCCCTTTACAGGGCCCAAACATCCAGGAAACGAACCCACTTATAAAACGGTGAAGGTTAGTAGTTTCTTTCTTTTTTTTTTCCTTCACTTTTTTAGCTAAAAGAATGTTATAGCACTACCATGTATTAAATCAAAAGGACAATTTTTGTAGTAAGAGCTACTATTTTTCCCTACCAGTACGTAGGATTGGCGGTTCGATTGACTTTTTAATGGTTTCATGTGGCTTAATTAAAGCAAAATTTTTAACATAATTTCCTTTGTTTTTCTTCCTTAATCTTTGAAATGCAGATTACACTGGATTTTCCAAACGAATTCTTAGTGAGCGTGAGTGGGCACACTGGTGTGCTTCCTCGACTGGCTACGGGGAAGGATGTTATACGCTCACTAACATTCAAAACCAACCAGAAAACCTATGGGCCATATGGAAAGGAAGAAGGCACACCTTTCAGCCTCCCAATTGAAAATGGTTTAATTGTTGGATTCAAAGGAAGAAGCGGTTTTGTTGTGGATGCCATTGGCTTTCACTTGTCACTTTAAGATCACCAGTGTAATAATTATTAATGGCGTCTCTATATATATATAGAAGATGTCTTGGCTTTCTGTTTAATTACGAATAAATTCAAATCTCCAAGCGTACATTATGGTTATTTGTCAGTTTAACTGACTATTATAGCCATGATATAAGGAGTTATTTGAGATGTGTTTGTAATGTTTAAAATAAGCTCTCTATGTAGAGCTCTGTGTGTGTAATACGTGATGAAGTTGCTGTCATGTATGAATTAAGCTCTACACATATATAGAGCTAATTAAATAAAATCCAGCGAGAATGTTTAATATTCTAAGTTCTTAAATTGTCATTTTTTTCAATATTTTTGCTTAATTTATTCATCAGATATATACTTTTTTTAAATACCTTTAATATGTACGGATTCATGATATTACCGCTCCAAGTTAATGCCGGACATGACCTTCAAACATTTTCTTGAAGCAATTATTGGGATCGGAAGCATTCTTCTGAGCAGCTGATGTGTTCTTTAGTTCGGAGTGACTTGATTAACATATCGTCGATGCATACTTCTATAGTTTTTCTGCGTAAACCTCGGAATGTTTTGTTTACCAACGTTTGGTTGTAGATCTTAACGGGTTCTTCAGTTCGAAAGATGTGATCTTGTAATAATACATCCCTCATTCAATAACGAAAGCAGTGTTCTCTTGATCGTCAAAATGCATGAGGATCTAATTGTGACAAAAAAAAAAAAAAAAAAAAAATAGTGCATCCGAAACCATTTTAGTGCCCGACAATGGCATCCTCTAGTCAATCTATATGTTGCTACGAGAAACTATTCTAAGTCCATTTGGTAACTAAATAGGTCCAAATAGTTTGAAAAATAAACTCACTCTTTTCAAACCTTCTATTTAAAATCACAAAAATTCAAACCACTGCATATTTTGAACCTATTTACAAAATGGGGTCACTACATTAAGGAAAACCGTTGAGGATTAAATTTTGAGGTAAAGTCTACCCTGTTGACATTGAAGAAAGACGGAACATGCAAATGTGTGTTGATAGTCGTGTTTCTTCTTAAAGGACACTAATTATGTGTTTCAGATTAATTGCTGTTTAAGGACCTAGATTATCAAGGAGTTACATGGAGAGGGTCATGTGAGACGTGATCGTACATTACAGTAGGCTACAAATACTGAATTATACATGACTTTGTCCATCCCTACTCAACTTTGGACATATATATGCATGGATTTTATTTTAAGGCTGCTTCGTACACAGAAAGGAACGAATCTGTCTTTGTCATGGTGGGTCATTTTTCAAAAATGCCGCATTTTATTTCGTGCAAGATTTATGACAATCATTAGAAAACACTGTTAGCATCATTGAAAAACACTGTTAGCTTTTTACATTTTTACGCTACGTGGCATGTGATTGTACTAATAAATGAGAATCGCACATTTGTCTGAGCCACTGACCGCCAATACTCATTAAAAATAATGAAATTTTTATTTATATTTATAAAACATTCAATAATACATAATACATTTATATAACATAATAAATAAATTGTTTATTAAAAAAATAATAAATATTCTATTATATGTTAAAATTTTAGGACCCTAACCTCAACACTTAAATTTTTGTATTTTTTACTTATTTGTTATTTATTATTTTCTCATTCTTAAGAGTTAAGAACAAGTAGTTTAATTTTTATTTCCAATCATGCCCTTCACCTTTTGAGAAAAATAATATTACGCGAGATCTTGTTAGTAAATTTATTGTTTTTTATTGCTTAGGGCTTTCGAAAAAGTAGTCAAATTAAATAAAAATATTTGTATTATAACAACATGATAATATTATTATTTTATTCAGACTAATAGTACTACTATTTATACACTAAATGTTTTCCGATAAAATGCGCTTTATATTTATTGTTGTCGTTCTTCTAGTTGATTTCCAATTTATAGATTGTCTTCATTTATATCTTGATGTCGTTTACGGGGATCATTGACGTTATTGCTCTTTTACCTGTTGGGACAATATTATGAGTTTTCTAGGATTTCTTTGGCTAGTTTCTCAAATTGGAGGCCTAAGCATTCACAATGACTTTTATTGTAGTATTTCGTATTCACAAATCTCACTGATTTTAACCTCAAGAGTCCCTTGGGTTACTAATTTTAACCATTGGGAAACGAGATAAATATCCCTTTAAATAGAGTATAGAGAAAATTACCGATTCTATCTCATCAAATACCTAACTCACTAAAAACACACCTTTTAAAAAATTTTACTCCTTGACTAGTTTAAGTCTAACAAGAAGAAATATATGGGTAAATATTGAGGGGTAAAAATAAAAGAAGACTCCATTTCAAGGAGTATCTTTATAAATTTCCCAATAATAAAACCCTTTGATATTTGGGTGGCAAACATTAGCCCATTGTCAAAAGGATAGTATATGACGAAAGAATGAATACCGTGTGTAGTCAAAATAATAAAATTCCAGACCAAACAGCTAAAAGGGTAAATCTGCAATTTGCTTTTAACAATTTAACCTCAGAGTCCAGAGACACAGAAGATTAGGAGGCCGCACTAATCAGTTCTATCATAAATTAGTAAGTTATCTTTTTGTTAGTAAGAGAGTATGATTTTTACTTCTTGTAGCCGTGGATTATTATTAAAATAATCGAGGTTTCCAACGGATCAAACGCACTTAGAAGAAGCGTTTAAAACAAAAGAAATAAAAAAGAACATCCAAGAACAAGATACACAAACAAATCTATATTGGTTCAGACAATTAATGCTTCCTACATCCACTTGGCCTCCCTTGGATCAAATCACTAAGCCATAGTATTGTACAACCCTTTTCGTGAACTTCCTTTTAATGACAGTCTGCGAGTTAGGGAGCATCCATTCTGTATGCAAAGATAAAGAAAACGATAAATAGAAAGTTAGAAAATATAGATATTAATGGACATATATATACATTTAAGAAATATGTAAATATATATATATTTATATATAAATGTATCTGTACGTCTGTCAGGACAATTTTTGTATTTTAAAGTTGACAAAACAAGACATTTTTTATAACTTAAAATTAGCAACTTACTGATTGTGATGTTCGGTTATAGTAGACGCAGAAGTACTAGCTTCCTCATCTTCTTTATCATTTATGTAGCGAAATCCGACTCCTGGCACATGAGAAATGCTTCTAAAATCTTGTGACATCATGAATTCTAGTGGCATTAAGTGAAAAACAAGGATTTTAATGTTCTTCAGATGCTCTAATTCGGATGGCACCTCTTTCGTTTGAGGACAAGGCCCGAGATATAGGTCTTCATATGCGTCGTTTTGGAAAGACTCCTTCCTTGAAGCGAAGTTGCTTACCAACATATATGCGTCGTTTCCTATGAAAAGCTCAAAAAGATTGTGCAAGTTCTCAAGGACTCTAGTGGATCAACTTCGAGCATTGAAAACTGAAGCCTTATCATGACTAGATTCTCAAGCCGTGTCAACCATTCCGGCAACTTCTGTAGACGCCCACCTAAGGCAAGACGCCCAAGATATGGAGGGGGTGATGAAATGGCTTCTAAATCGAGGACCTTATTTACACTTGTTGAAGAAACATTGGCCATGTTTGGAATTGATCCCATTTTTATTTTTTACGTTTTTCGAGAAAAAAAAAATGAAAACTTTTTCAAAACGTCGTTTGGCGTAATAAAAATAAAAAACAGAAATGAAAACGATTTTGTGGTTTAGTGTAAAATCAGAGAGAAATGAAAAATGACTTTTAGACGTTTTTTATTTTTTGTTTTCATTTTCTCCTCTCTCGAGTAGAGAGAGAGAAAGAGAGACATTAATAGATTTTTTTACACTGAAAAATAATCTCTTGATAAAATTACCAAACCCATTTTCAAAAATGATTTCTGTCTGAGATTGAAAACGTTTTCATTTTCATTTTCATACAAAAAATAAAATCATTTTGAAACAAGTTCCAAATGCGCCCTTAGAGATTTATTTTCTTAATACAGCCACACAGAACATTTCCGTACTCACTTCTTAGTTTACTGATCCCTAATGTTCTCAATTGTGTCAAGTTTCTCAATTCTTTCAATCGTCCAACAACTTCTTCATCGTCAGCCTCGACGAAAAATAACTTCTGCAACGCTTTTAAGCACCCAATTCCGCCCAACACTTTTATTCCGAAGTTCTCATCAGAAGAATCAAATCGCACTCTCTGAGCAAAAAGATGTCTCAAAGTACAAAGCTTGTTTATGATATTTGACCCTTTTAAATCCAACCTCTCCAAGTTTTTCAACTTCTTTATGGAACTTGGAAGCTTCGGCACTTTTGTCCTCCGCACGCTCTAGTATCTCAAGGAAAATAAATTTCCAATATCTTTGGGAAGGTGATCAAGGTACGGAGCATATTCAAAATCAAGTACTTTTAAGAACTTAAAATTTGTTGCAAATATGGGCATGATAGAATTTAGTGTCTCATCTTCACAAAAAAGAACAACAGAATGAACGCCTTGCAAGTAATTATTTGAGCTATTGATCATGATTGATAGACGTACGTCGAGTTATTCCTCTAGATTTTGACTCAATAATCCCTATAAAACTCGTAAAAAACTCAGTTCCTTTGTCTTCTTGAGAATGATCTCATACAAAAGATCATGGACACAACATTCTTTAGGTTCGCGTCAAGGATCGATGCTTCAACCAAGCTTCTATTTATTAGTTCATTCATATATTCTTGTGCAACGTCTTCTACCGACTTATCCCCCACTGCTTTGATAAGGCCCTCGGCTATCCACTGTCTAATTAACCTTCCATTCCTTATATCCCAAACTACAAAAAGCAAGATTTAAGGTAGTAAGGCAACTCGTTGTAACTGAGGGATAAGATCTTTGTTATACTTGCTAGATGAATATTATTCTCCAACTCAAAATTAAGGAGCCCAACTTGACTCAAAAAGTTAACCTATTAAGTCTTAGATCTTTCTATATATATAAACCACTTTATATTCTCATCCACTTTTCATGTGGGACAACACATATATGCAATTTTCTCAACAATCTCTCCCTCATGTGTGTGTTTACCGAGCTCCCACTCGAATTGAAGCATGAAAAAGAGAGCCAAAACCATGCAAGTCCACCAAATGCCCCACCATCCGCGCACCTGCGGAAACACCAACTCTCCACGGGAGGTAACGTGGGAACTGCAATCGAGTGTGATAGCTTAACTCACACGAACCATCGGCTTTGATACCACTTATTGGAGAGACGTCACATGTGAAACTGACCTAACACACTTCAGGAGCCCAACTTGACCT